TACCTTCTCCCTTGCTGTAACCAGTAGCAAACCCAACCTGTTCCCCACAGGTAACTTCCTGGTGGTCTCTGGCTAGAGGACACGGATAAATTCTCAGTCCTACCTGGAATGCCCCCTCCAATCTCTCTCCCATACATATTCAATGGAGCCTACGTCCTCCTGGGAGCCTCCCCTGTTGGCCTTCCAGGTTTCGGATGGCCCCATTCCTGTGAGTCTCAGCTGCTGCTATTAAGTTTGTATTTCACAATACTAGGTAGCACTGCCATCTTGAGTACTCTCTGAAAGATCCTTCCGACTCTAATATATTATTCCACTGTGTAGCTGTAGAAGTCTTATGCATAGCTGTCTACCTTCCCGAGTAGGCTAAGTGTTCTCATAAATATGTCGCAAATACATTTTTTCACATGCCTTGTCATTCTCCTTCCTCTTACCATACATAAACACAGTCCACTGCACACAGTGAAGACCTATAGCCGGTCATACATCTTAGGCAGATACAAATTTGACCTTGCATTTGTTGGGGGATGATATGATGTTACTTGTATTCCACTAGTAAATAGTTTCATTTAGAACAGCTTCAAGTATACACCTTTATAGCTGGAGTGTGTTCCATGTACCTACTGCATGCAGTGTGGGCTCACTGTCTGTCTGTCTACCTACCTACCTCTATCTCTCTATATATCTATTTCTTATTTATCATATTTCAGGGCAAAGTACCTATACATGTAAAGGTAAATTCAGGCCAGGGAAGCTGGCAGAGGTCCCTGAAATCAGTGATTAAAATTAAACCTTCCAAACATCTGACTTGCTGACGTATGTATCTTGCATAATGATAGAGATCCTGCGCTGAAGGGGGAAAGACCTACCCGATGATTAGGTTTCCTGCCAGAGCCGGATGTAATCCTGCTGGACAACTGTCTTCAGGCGACCAGTTCTCATCTCATAGTCAGCTTTCTAAATGTTAACTCACAGGTGCCCTTCACTACCACACGCCCCTGCTGACTTTCCGATTTCTAATGCCCAGAACTGAAACTGACCTTGCCCTGAAGATCCAGGATGAGGTCTAGATTTAAACTGATCTTGGTTTCCACGACTGCTCCTTCATCTTCCAGTCCAGCCCCCGTAGCTCAGGCAAGTGATTTAACCTCTCTAAGCCTCCATTTCCTGGCTACAGAAAACAAAAAAGGGGTATATTTACCCTCCCAGGACTCTAATGATTTGGTGAGATTATGTATCTAAGGTGCATGGCAGACACTCTACAAATGTTAGCTTGTTTTCTCCTAACTGTGCCTAACAACTAATAGAAACCTGTCTCCTCGCTCTGAGGAGCTGCCCATTCCGTGTACTGATTGGCTTACACAGGGAAGCGTAATTAAAGCCAGGACAGATGGAAGAGATCCCGTTCTCAGACCAGTAATCAAGCTCTAGTTGTTCTATTGAGCTGCTCATGTGTTCAACTTCCTGATGCTATTCCCATCCATTTTCCTTGCTACACCCCAAACCCCAAACCAAGCATCTATTGTTTGTTGGGTTCTTATGTTGGTACTCCTGCCCAGTTTGTCTCTGGGCATGGGTGCTCTGCACCTTCACCCTGATAACCTCTGTTCCATCCTTTCTGTCTGACCTGGACTTCTGGTACTCTGGCTGCCTATTAGAAGGCCCAACATTGCACCTGTCCCTCAATTTGTCCTGCTGTCCCGGATTCGGATCTGGGCTTGCGAGGTTGTGTTGCACAGTGTATGAAAGCACAGGCTGTGGTTTTGGACAGCCATGGTTTGAACCCCAGCTCTTCCACGTAATGACCACATAACCTTGAGCAAGTTATTTACCTCCTGAACTTTCAGTTTTCTCACCTTAGAGGGTTACGAGATTTAACATAATGAATTTGTGACATTTAATATAATGAATTTAAAGCAGCATGTAACATGGGGCCTGGCGTACTAGGTCAGTCTTCAATAAATGTCAAGGCTACACATATAAAGTTTTGCCCCTAGGACTCATGGTAGCCGCAGGCCTCCTTTCTAACACAGTCCAGGTGCTGTCAACATACCCACAACACACAGCCATTTCACCTACTGGCCCAGCCTATCTATTGGGTCGTCGGGAAAGTCATGATGCATTTCTGCATTGAAAAACATAAAAAGATACATCATGACTTTCCCAACGACCCAATACTTTTCTCCCTCCTGATCCGTTTCATCACACAAATGCTTCTGTCAACACAGATGCTTCTTCATCCTGACACACCACCTCACCAGACTTTCATAATGTTCACCCAGGCCGGTGTTCTAACTTGGGGCTATGGCCTTAGGTCCCTAGGCGATAACCCTAATCTGAGCCTACTGCCTTCCTTCTGCCCATCGCCCACAAACCCAACGAATCTGTAAACAACAGTTCTGTGTTCATCACTTCACTCCGCTGTTCAAACTTCCGCTGGCTCCATCATGCCCAAAGCAGGGTCTCCCATCTCATGGTCCCTATGTGACCAGGCCTTCTGGAAATGAGATCCTTAGGCTGGAAATAAGGCACAGTGGTATCTGCTAAAAGTACACAGATATAGAGAAACGGTGGGCTCTTCATATACTAACATTCTGTGCCCCACAGTCCTCCCAGCAAAGCCTAGACATGAGTGGCATTATTTTATCACCGGGCTTTGCCTTGACTGGGAGGAGGGCCCCACATCTGGAATTCGCATGACCCGGGGCCTCTGAGTTGTCTCCTTATGCAAACCTCACATTATAGTGCAGGGGTCTATCCTGAAAAAGGAGGGGGCAATTTTCCTTAATAGCAGACATGCTGTTCTTGATTGGCAGCATCTTTAGCTCGGGAGAACCACACCTCTATGTGGGCTGACAGAACTGTCCATCAGCCTTCTCCTCCCCAGCCCTCCACAGTCTACGACTATCATAGTAGCACTTTGCAGGACATAGAGACCTATTCAATGAACACCAAAGCAGGGGCAATCCAATCCTTTCCAGGAGATTTCTAACAATGGGACCTAAAAGAGGCAAGACCTCTCTTTCTTAAGGTTCAAAAGCCCAGGAATGCAGGCTTAGAAGTACCAACAATCATCTTTCTCAGGGTGTGGAAAAGGGTCTAAGAATGAAGCTGACTCAGACAGAAGAGGTGCTCAGAAGTAGAGAAAGGGGGAGAAGGGGAGAGAAGAGGAGAGAGAGCCCTGACAGTCATGTGTCTCTGGGATCCAGTTATGACTGAAGCAAAGACCACCTTTGGACTTTCCAGTCACATGAGCTAATAAATCTTCACTTTTCGCTTAACCTAGTTAAATGTAGGTTCCTCACATGTATAATCAGATGAATCTGGACCAACTCCCTTCTACAAGAACACAGGGTGGGGTGGTGGGGGACAGGAGTTGTCTCCCCTGGTACACTTAATGCTTGAAGCAGATGACAAGGACACTACAGGAAGGAATGTCCAGATTCACATATTCTCACCTGGCTCACATTCCATGGCTTCCGTGTATTTTCACCTCTGGTGACAGTTTCCAAAGCATAACTGCTATTGGAACATATCCCATTAATTCACAGCACAATGGCCCAAGAATCCCCATCTTTAAAAGAGGATTTTCTTTTACCAGTTGCACTGAAAACTCTTGGAAGAGTCTTATCAATGACTCTGTAATAATCGAGTCCCCCTGAATTTCTGCTGGGGAAGGGAAGGTGTGGTGAGAGAAAGCACACCAGGAGTGATCAGACTAAATATCAACGAACAGGATTCCAGACATTTCAGGAGGTCTCATCTCATAACTGGAAACTCTTCTCTTCCCGAATGTAATCTAGGATTTTACTCAGAAATTTGAACCTTCACTAAAATCTGCTGCCAACCTTATCTCTCTCTCCCATTTACACAGGGTTTCCAAAGCATGTTCTATTTAGCTTCTCCTATCTCTATAAATCCTGCAAAAAGGCAGTGGAGCATGCTGGAGCAAGCATGCTTTGCAGTATTAGTCCTGGTTTCATCATCTTTCTGCCCTAATTACTCCTTGGGGTTGTTATGAAAATCAATTGCCATTATTTGTGAAAACTCACCAGAAACAACAAGTACTAAGTGAACGTTGGTATTTATTTTATTCTGTACTGTGTACTCAGATCATTAGTGATGGGCCAGATGCCCCAGGTCAGATCTCCTCACCTCCTACTGTCATCGTATTACCATTTCCCTATGTCTAGTATGGCCTCCAGCCTGTCGTCCCCCAATGTAAACTGCTAACCAGACCATCACCACCCCCTTACATTCTGATTTTTCCCTCTCCTTCATTCCACCAGCATTCATCATGCAGCATTTTAAAACGAGGGTGGAAAGATGACAGTCCAAAGGCCTTGGTCTGTTGATGAGGGCAGAGAACATATCCAGGGCCACATAGTGGCTTTGTCAGGATGACAATTTGGGTGTTCCAAGTCCCCATCCAGTGCCCTTGGCAACCACTACACTGCTCCCCAGTGTGTACCAGTGCACAATGCTCAAGGATACATCGGGTGCTCAGTGATCTGTGGTACATTTTCCAGTCCCCTCTCTACCAGCCGCTAAGGTCCCATAAGAAAGGCTACCTTGCCCTCCATCAGCTAACGTGACACCACAAGTGTTCGTGCATGCTCTCTGAGCGCTTGGGTACACATCACACCGTTGCAGACAAAACATATCGTAAGTCCTGAAATGGACATGCTTGATAAAACTGCAAATCATATATTCCTTAACAACATGAAGGGTCCATCTCACTGCATATTTGTTTTTTTTTTATCTCTATACTAAGGTAAGTGCTTATTCCAAATGTGTTTTGCTTTACGAAGACTCCCCATGCTGTCTTCTATTTAGGGAGAGTAACACTAAATGAAATTTATTTTAAAACTGCCTCCTCTTTTAGACTCTACATTCTATTTGATAAGTAATATGCATTACCACGAGGACTTATTATTTTATCTTCTACTAATTTTGCTTAAGCAATGCAAAGCAATGACATCTGCTTTTATCTTTGTTCTTACCTACTTTCCAAAGCTAAATATGAATTTCTTCTCCTTTAAGCTGAGAGTCGTTATGAGAATGAAAGAATTTAAACCGTTCAGATTCGCTCCCCTGTGTGACAGTAGTTATCTTTCTCTGCCCAATGAGCTGTTGTCAAAATTCTGAAACGACACAAGTCCAGGTATCACAATCTAACTCTTGGAGCATTCCAAAGCTCTGCTAAAAATTTCTCAGAGTTAAAGGAAGACGTGAAGCCACCCTTCTTTTACAATGATCTTCCCCGCAGAACTCTTCTGAACACGGGTGTCTTTGGGATACTACATGCATTTACCTGGAAATGACTCAGAAACACCAGGTAAAACCTCCCCGTGCCAACCGCCTGGAAATTGCGCACAGAGGGTTCCCACACAATTCTCCTTCTCCAAAGGCTTCCCCAGCCTCGGATACAAAGCTAAATGTAACCAAGGTTACAAATGATAGCTAAATCATCTCACAGGTATGAGCTCTCCAGTAGGACTTCCTAAGAGAAAATCATTCCTAATACCTCAGAATATATTTTCAAGAGTAAAAAAAAATCTCATAACGTTAAATTGCTGAAGCATTTAACTATAGTTTCCATTTAATAGAAATATTTTCTGTTTAGAAGGACTCCTAGTCTTCACTTGAGTTGTTTGAAAAGCACGAAACTATAACCAGGTGCTTCTGTATGGGTAAATAGGAGTAGGGAAAGTAAGGTTTAAGAAGTTTCAAAATTTAGTCTACTACTTACAAAATGTAATATATTCTAGTATCGGTAGCCAAATAACAAATTGAAGGTCATTTTATAATAAGTATTTCCATAAAGCAAGAGATGACAAACCATCAAAGTAAATAGGTTTTACAGGAGCCAGTATTGCTTATGCATAAAGCACTACAAAAGCGTACCTCAGGACTTGGTTTGACTGTAAAACCGAAAGAGTTTAATATTCTTACTGACAAATAAGAATAGCTGTTGACTCTTAAAATGTTTTCTATACATACACTTGCCCACAACTACTTCTGAAGGTCTTTATTAGAAAAAACAAGGTTAGAGGCACTTGAGTTTAACGTATTCTGAATTACATCAGACTAAGGTGTACCGGGGTTGATTACAATTAGTAAATTACAGTGATGAGAAGCATATGATTGACATTACCAACTCCTGGTACTAAACAATGAATTGTTTTCATCACAAATCAATCTCTCTCTCTCTCTCTCTCTCTCTCTCTCTCTCTCTCTCTCTCTCACACACACACACACACACACACACACACACACACCTCAATCTAAATCTAAGGGCAGAGAATACACAGTGAGCTTGCAACCACACAATGTGAAATGCTGACTTGGACAATTAATTATAGCAAAACAATGATTAATGAAGCAAACCTTGCAAACCTTCAGCCCCTTCTCTTAAGGACAGGCTACATAGGGGAAAATAGTGCTGAATTTGGCGAATAATTGCTTTGCCTCTCCATTTTGCCTGTGGAGATACTACAACATACAGACATGGCTTTAGGAAACCTTGACCACACTTTGTTCCTGCCAAGGACTACTATAAATCAACGCTATGGGCATCTTTACAAAGAATGCTGACTCTCTGGAACGGAAACAAAGGAGGGTGTAGCTTGGAGAAACCCAGCCAGGTGCTCCACGGCTCCGGGTTCTCGAAGGCTGCCCCACTGGGCTTCTCCTGCGCTCCAGGGACTGGGGAGTCGGAACTGATGGCGGACTTGGTTTATTTCCCAAACTTCAGAAGACAGTGTTTACCCTAACTCTGAAGGCTGGAGCAGGGCAATGGGGAAGGTGGGGGGAGGCGGTAAGAAACGCCCGGTTCCGGCTGCAGCGGTTGCCCACCCACCTCCCCACCCCGACAGCACCCTTTCCTTAATCCTCACCTGTCCTGAGCGCGGGGACTCGGAGGTCCAGTCGCCTCTCCGGGCTCTCACTCGGGGCTGTTGGGACGTCTGGCGCCTCGGGAGACGAGCGAGGGGGGAGGAGGCAGGGTCGGGGGCGTCAGCAGGAATCTCGGCAGCCGCCGGCAGCCGCTGTCGCCCTCCCCATGCCGGCGGGGTTCGGGCAGCGGACGCACGCCGACACGGCGGGCGAATGAGTCAGGCGAGGGGGCGGGCGGCGAGGGGTGCGGGACGGTGGAGGGGGCGGGGCCGTCCCTACGCCCGCACCGGCGGGGCGGCTGCGGCCTCTGGGGGAAGGGCGCGCCGCGGCCAGTGCCCGCCGCGGGTCGAGGGGCCGCCGGCCGCCGCCATGGGGCGCACGGAGTCCGAGCGCTCCTGCCCTCGGAGGTCACCGGACACTACGCGCCGGGCCCGGGACAGGGATTCGCAGCTCAGGCGTCGCCGCCGCTGCCAACAAAGACAAAAGGGTCGCGGGGATAGGAGAGGGAAAAGTTTTCTGCTCGGCTCCAGCTGGAGCTCCTCGGAGCCTCACGCCCTCAGCGCCGAAGAGGCGGGCTGGTGGGCGGGGTGCGATGCGGGGCGGGCTTCCAGGGCGTCGCGGCAAGACCCGCACCGGGGTGCCAGCCAATCTCGCGGCCGCCCACGACCGGTGGGAACTCCCCCCGCGCTGCAGCCGCCACTCTCGCGGCCCACCTCCTCCTCGAGGATGCAGACGAGATCTCCTCCTCCCGCTCCGGGAGCCCCAGCCTCGCCGACCCCGTGCCCAGCAGGAAAGTTGCGCTTCTAGAGCCGGGATCACCGCAGACAAAATCTGTCTTTGGGAACAAAATACCGCTTTCAGGAGCTCTTTTCCGAGCTGGAAGGCCAGAGGGTGGAAACGGACACACCCACAGCAGGGCGCGCCCTTTCTGCGGTGGAACTCCGAATCCCCATGCCGGGGGTCAGGGCCCCGCCGGTCCCCCGGAGCAGTAGGGGAGCCTCGGCCGATTCCGGTTTTCCAGGAGCCGGAGCCTCGACTCCACGCCCCTCGGACACTTATCTGAAGCCTCCGGGGCGGGGCGGGGTCCCTCTGGCGGGCTGCTCGGCGCTGCGCAAGCGGAGCCAAACCGGCCCCCAGCCGACACACTTGGAACGCCCGCTCTGTCTACACCGCTCTGGAACTCCCGTCGGATCAGCAGCGGGTCTGGCCCGGAAAGGGGCTCGGGGTCATGCGCAGAGGCGATGAGGATAAACCAAATAGTTGAGGGCTTATGGGCAGTGCTGAGATTCAGCTCCAAACATCAAAGCCAACGGGGCATACAGGTTACTCCCCCTTATCCCCAAACAGCCAATGAGTGGGGACTGTGCCCTATTCATAGAGTAAACCAATATGATAGTTACCTGCACTTGGACAGAGACATAAGTGATCCTTGTATATATGCTGGTCAGTTAAACAAATAAAGTTTCATGTAAACCTGGAATACCTGCTATTCCAACCATGACATTGACATGTGCAGAGCACACCAGCTCCCAGCGCTGGGAGTGGGGTGTACCTGTGTGTCTTCTGAATACTTTTGATGATGGATTAGAAGGCACATATGGCATTCCAGTGCAGTGTATTTGTGTATTTCAATCTGTACTCTGTGGATCTCATTTTCAAGAAGAGTTTGTTTTTGAAAGTGGAAAATGCACGAGAGAGAGAGGGAGAGAGAGGATTCTATGTAAAACTTTCCACATTAAAAAAAAAATCTTGGAGTGACACAACTAAAACCAGCAAGAATAAAAACAGAGTCAAACTCTAAAAAAAACACACACACACTCAGAAATCAGATAAGAGACTAGAAATGGATTACCTGTGGTACAGTCTTCCTGTATTAACTAGAAAAATTTGGAGATTTGGCACTTTTAGTAAAAAATTTAACAATCAAAATGTTAATAAAAAGGGGGGGGGCCTGCTGAGTGGCTCAGTTGGTTAAGAGCTCGCTTGGGAGCACCATCTCTGAGCAGCAGGACCTCGGTTCAGATCCCACATTAAGGGCCAGTGACGCTGTGCCTTCTACAGCTAAGATGATGAACAACAACTCGACCTGGAGTTGGGCTGCTGTGAGTTGCCTGCGATGGCATAAGCTGCAGCGGGGCTGCAGTGGGCTGCCATGAGCTACATGAGTGGTTGGCAGCCAGAATGAGTGGCTGGCAGCCGGAAAGAACTGCTGTGAACCACAGTGAGCAGCGACCAATGACCAGCGATGGATTGCCTCAGCCGGGAAGAACACAATGATCTTACCAACATGGGCCAGTGAAGCGACGTCCTCCATAACTAGACTGAAGAACAAAACAGCAGTTTGTCTACCTGTCTGTTCCCCTTCCTTGATTCCCCAATGCTGTTCCCCTCCCCCCAATTCCCCAATGCTGTTCACCTCCCCCAATTCCCCAATAAAATCTTTTTTTTTTAAAGTTTAAAAAAAGCTAAAGGGTCTGGGAGGGCGGTGGAGAAATGAGTCACCCCTATAAACCATCTGTACTGTTATTTTTCCCCACCTGTATCTAGTACTTTTTATCTCACTGTCATGCTCAACTGTCTTAGGTTTCCTTACACATTTGATGCACCCCATCCAAGGAGTGTGATTCCAAAAGGCCTTCCATCTAGTTGTAGCTCCTACATTTTATAAAGAAATATCCTGAAGTCACCTTTCCCTAGAAAGCTTCTGAGAGTGGACACCTCTTGGTTAGGATCACTAGCTTGCCAAGGAATGATGAGCAGGCTTATAGTATCCTTGGAGATCATTAAACATGACATCCAACCAAAGACAAACAACAAAACATTTAAAATGGTCATCTAACCATTTTAGACATTGAATGACTGAGCCTTCCCCAAAGAGGGACTGATGAAAGAAAAAGCACATTCTTATGGGCACCAATATTCATGATTCCTCATTTCTGAAATTAGATCTCAATGATTCAACCACAAAAGAAGCAGCAAAAAGATGAACTACAGAAGACCTCCAAAGTGAATTATTTACATTTCTTTTAAAAATAATTACTATTAGTCTCAGAAAAGACTGGAGTAACATGTCCATAAATAAAAGATTATCTACAATTCAGTAGACCAAGCAACTCCCAAGATATTAGTTATTAAATTTTTCCTTAGCATTGAGTGCTCACAGGCAAGCTCGGGTAAATCATTTAACCTCTGTTAATGGCCAGTATCTCTCCATCTGAAAAAAGCCCAGAGAATATACCATGCAATAATAGATTTTGAATTTAGCTTCATATTCACTTTTGAAGTAATGGATAAGACCTCTCACCATTCAAGCTGCACTTCACACATAATAGTTTTTACTGTGTCTTTCTGAGATGTGTAAATTTCCACTAGAACAAGCCCATCTTATAAAGAGTGCATAATGGGAACAGAGCTCTCCCTCCTGTAATTCAAGCTCAGCTACCTGCTAACACAGGGATTTTTAACCTTATTTCTCCCACTCCTTCAGTAGGAACAAAGGACCCATTTCAAAGGGACTTTGTGCAAACTGAATGAAATAATGCATGTAAGTCTTTTTACCTGTGACATAGATCCTCAATACATAGTTACACACACACACACACACACACACACACACACACACCAATTTTTTCTAATCCTATTAACATAGTAAAAAAGAAGACTTCCTCTGGAATCAAGAATTAACTTGAGAAAAATGTTGCAATGTGAAGATCAACATTTTCACTCTTGGTACACTTATAAATGTAAACCCAATGATGGCAACAAATTTTTAATGAATCAATTTTGAAAACATACATTGGAATGAAAAACAAGTATTCTTAAGTACAATAGTGTGACAAAGCTAAGGGAAGGCCTATTAGAAAAGTTTATATGGGATTATACCCATTTTCTTTTGCCATAAATGTAGCCCATAGCATCTCCAGACCTGAGAAGAGGGTCCTCAACCAGAAAATAAAAATATCTTCAATGGAAAACAAATGGAATTGTTTGCCAGACTTTTATCTGAATCACTTTGCTTTAGCTGTGAAATAAATTGATAGTCTTAAAGACCCCGAGGTATCTCTGCTGGCAGCCATAGTTGCTGTTTCAAAGTAGGGGGTAAATAAAAGCAACATCAATCAAAAAAACAAAAACAAAAAAATAAATGACCTGCCTGATTTTACCCTTAAAATATAGAATTTGGTGGGAGGAATACAACACGAAGAAAAGTAGCAGAAATGCATTTAAAAATAAATTTTAAGGGCAGGCCGAGTGGTGCATTGGTTAACAGTTGGCTTGGGACGTCAGTTCTGAGCAGCAGGCCCCAGTTCGGATCCCACATGAGGGCCAGTGACGCTGCACCCTCTACAGCTAAGATGGTGAACAACAGCTCAACCTGGAGCTGGGCTGCTGTGAGTTGTCGGCATAGGCTGCAGTGGGGCTGGCCAGCAGCAGGTGTGAGCTTTTGTGAGCTTCTGTGAGCCACTGTGAGTGGCCATCCAATGGCTGGCGAGCAACTGCCTCACCAGGGAAGAGCGCAATGATAATACCAACATGGGCCAGTGAAGCGACGTCCTCCACAACTAGACTGAAGAACAAAAGGACAGCAACTTGTCTGTTTCCCTTTCCCGACTCCCCTAATTCCCCAATAAAATATTTTAAAATAAATAAATAAATAAAATTTAAGGTCATTTTTATTTCACTCTGATTTTGACTAGCACTTTGACATGTTTTTAGTTTTTTCTCTGTCATTATGTACAATTGACGAACAGTTTAGTAGATTTAGCAACAGAAAGATGTTGCCAATTTCTGTTCATCCAATGTATAAAAGTGCTACCTCTCTGAAATAAATATTTTACAATATTGAGTCTGATAATATTACTTAAATATTTTATGAATTCTGTGTTAACTTCCTTATTTGACAGTAAACCTGATTAAATTATTTTTGCTGAGGAGAACTGTCTGCATACCTTTTAAAACACGCAAAAAAGGGGTACCCTCTGCCTTGTCTAAAGCCCCACTTGTCTTCTCTGGACAGATTTGTGTCTATATGAAGGGAAGGATCACCACACAGCTGCTAACAATCCAAGAAGTAATTTAAAAAAAAAAAAGCCTGTGTGTTTTGTTACCAGAATCTGCCCACAGAAGATATGAAGAGATTTGAATGAAATGGCAGAGAAGATGATAGTAGCAGCACACCTGTTCCACTGTCCATGGTGCTGAATTAGTCGTTGAGCATTAG